GGGGGCCTAAACTGAGTCATGGGAAGGTGTCGCTTTACACAATAAAGATTTTTCTAAAAGTTACTGTGTAAAAGGAAATTTTGCTGAGCACACTTTTCAGTGTAGTCTGTGTAGTATGATTCCTTTTACAGTGCAAACCGCCCACAAGTTTTGTTTGCCATATTTGTACTTTTGCCCCCAGTGCATTCTTCAAGCATGCACATCTCTAAAATGCCACGGACATTACGTGGCTTTGAGGCAGATCCCACTCTAGGTACTGGACAGCTGTTACAGGACACTTTTTAAGGGTTTCACAGTGAGAAGAGGCAGAATAGGCATACACAATAAAAGGCTTAAGAGTGTCTTTTAAAAGTTTTTCCTGAAGGACGTATATCCTAAAATCTCACCAAAAGGATTTAAAACTGCACAAAATAAAAACACAACACTTCCAGGACCTACAACATGGTCAATGGAGCAGAAGCAAACTCTTTATTCAGTGCAGCTAGAAGGTGCAGAAATATAGCTGAGGTCACAAGCAAGGATTAAAATCCCAGGTGCCAGGAGCACAGAGGGAACTGAGGGTCAGAGCAATAAGCAGTGAGGTGAGTCTGGGCACCTGGAGTGGTTGCCAGGCTTGGCGCGAGGCCCGACGGCCAGGAGCATGGGTTTTCATAACCCTTGGAAGATGAGGCTGCAGGAGATGAGGCTCAGGCCTGCAAAAGACACAAAGTGGGATGTGAGACGCCTGGTAGGACAGCTGCAGCACAGCAAACCAGGGACTGGAGACACTACCCAGTGAACCAGGAAAATGGGAAGAAGCTTGTTCCCAAGCCAGGAGATAAACACAAAAATTGCTCTTGGGCTGGTGACACCTGATAACCTCTGGACACGTGGCAGAAGCAAATGCAAAGTGCTCTGAGTCCCTCTGATATGAGCCCACGGTCCTGAAGGAACTGACAGTTACTCAGCGCTTTCGCAAAGCGGAGATAAGAAAGTGGAGGCTCAGAAAAGCCAAATCCTTATCCAGGATCACGTCAGGTAAAGGAAAGAGCTGGGCCCAAACCCAGCACTTCCCATCTGCAGCCCTGCCTCTAGTGTATGGGCTCATAGGGCACCTCCTGGGACACCGGGGAATGGGCAAGCTGGCACTGGAGACACCCTGGGGCCAGATACAAGTGCAAAGGTGCCTCGCTTGAAATGACCGCCAGGCATATCCTGGCCACCGAGGGACATGTCACCTCCTCTCCCACACCTCCATGCTGCTCAGCTGAGTAGGGAATGTGAGGAGAGGGGACATCTGGCGGAGATGAGAGGGGTGCTGGAGTCTCTGGTTGACTCCAGAAGCTGTTTCCATGAAGTGGGAGTCTTTTTTTTTTTTTTCCTTGAAAGCCACTTGAACTTTGTCATTCCAATTATGCTTATCTCTTCTTGTGTTTGCTTAGCTCGTGGGTGGGAAATGTCATTACCCTCTCCTAATTTTATGGGAAACTATTTACAAATGATACATTTTGAAATGGCCACTAACCTCCTTGGCCCCAAAACTCACACACAAGAAATCTGACCAAAAGGAGGCTAATGAGGGTTGCCTGAGAGTTGCCCTGTCTAGGATCTTGCGGGGAGAGGATCCTTGCCTTGTGACTGTCAGCTTGGTCTACCTGCCTCTCCATCTGTCGGGCTGTCCATTTGCTGTGGGAGCTGTCAGGTCTTCACCAGCTGTGCCAGACCCCTGACCAGGCGGAGGGAATCCTGCCCAGGAAACACAGGCAGCAAGGGCCGCAGGGAGTCAGCTCACGGGTCCTGCTTTTCCTCAGACACCAGAAAAGGGGTACCCCATCCATCCAGGCTTCCCAGAGGCCTCTAGGATGGGTGCTGACTTGCCCTAAAGAGAAGCTTTCATGATCCCCCTTCCCACTCTCCACCTTAGAGCCCAGAGAGCAGCACTGTGGGGCGTGTCACCTGACATCTGTGGTCAAGGGGAGAGGGTCTGGATGTGGATTTTATATGCCAGGTGTAAACCAAAATGAATCTTAGGCTGTAATAAAGAATGAAAAGCATTTATTTCAGCAAAAAGGAGCAGCAGCCCAGGAAACAGGTTCAAGTAGCAACCTAAATTGTGTTCCACCAAGACAAAGGGGAGGCCACCTTTTATAGTGAAAGTTCCCACCCAAGTTCTTAATTAGGTCTGTTTTATGTAAATGAGGTATTCCAACTTGTATACTTCCGATTGGTCGAAATCTCGCAGTCCTGGCTGTTCGGCATTATTCGTCCTGATCGGTGGTTATGGAGCAGTTCTGATTTACAAGGCAAAGGTGCAGGGCATAGTAGGTGAAGCTGAGAGCTCAGCCTCACGTGGGTCTGCAGAGTATGTGAGAAGCCCTCGGTTGACTGTGGGGAGTCCATCTCAGCTGAAAACTTTCATCTCGGGGTTCATATCAAAAGAATCTTTCTGCCCTGGGCAGTTTTGCTCAGTGGTTAGAGTGTTGGCCTGCAGACTGGAAGGTCCCAGGTTCAATTCTGGCCAAGGCACGTGCCTTGATTGCAGGCTCGATCCCAGCGCTGGTGCAGGAGACAACCAATAGATGTGTCTCTCACATCGATGTTTCTCTCTCTCTACCTATGTCTCCTTTCCACTCTTTCTGAAAAGGCAATGGAAAAAATATCCTCAGATGAAAACTAAAAAAAAAGAATGCTTCTTCTCAGGGTCCACATTTTACTGAAGTAGTTAAGTAGTTGGGGAGGGGATTAAAGAAAGATGAACGGGGATTCACTGTGCAACAAATGAGCAGCTTCAAACTCGACACTAGCCTTCCTAGAAACCCTTCCAGCCTCACTACCACTGGGGGTGTCTTAGGAACTCATCACCCACACGCTCTCACTGGCCCATCTCCTTGCCCCCCACACTTCTACCTGCTCCCCTGACATCCAGGAGGAAGAAAGAAAACACAACCCAGCCTCGCCCAGTCTCCTGCACAGCAGCCCTCTCCTTCACCAACTTAGCCCTCACTGGACATGTACCTTGGGGCCCACCCTCTCTCCCAAGCAGCTTATCCAGTCATTTACACACACACACATGCACACACGTGCACACACACACTGTCCTCTCTGAGAGGAACGCTGATGTCAGTTCTTAAACCAGTAGGTTTTTTAAAATAGATTTTTCACTTCTGTACATACACGAAAGCAACAAATCATTGTCCCACCTGGAAGAGACTAAGGTCTCATGTGGCCACCTCAATATAACGAGACATATCAAAAGATTACATAGTCAGGATTCAGAACCAAATGAGAGGAGACCGTGGCCACGCCTGGCGTCCTTTGCGACACTTTCCTCATGCCCACCTTTGCATAGTGCCACTGAGCACTAGAAGGCAAGATTTGCTGTGCCAGGATCAGCCTGGCCACACATGCAACCAGTGCCCTCTCCCCGCACTGCTCAGGAGGTAGCGATCTCCTCATGGCAGGGTGCCCGCTGATGCCACTTGTCAGGTTGCCTGACAAGGGCTCTGGCATTGAGACGTGAGTGAATGAGAGGCATCAGGTGCTGGGTCCACGTGGACGAGCACATGTGAGGGGTGGGGATCACAGAGCACACCTTTGTTGTGGCCTGACACGCTCGTGCAAGTGCGGTGCTCCCCGCACTTGTCTTCCTGTGACATCACTGTCCACTGGCATTAGCCCCCATCCACCCGCATGTTCCTGCCTCGTGCATACCCAGAGCCTGAGGGCTGCCAGGCTGCCAGGGCAGATGCCCCAGCAGCCAGAGAGCTTCTGGGTCGGAGCAGGGACTGCCCGTTTGGCACATGAGCATGTGCACATATAGTCATCACGGTGACTGTGCTGCAGGTAGGAAGAGGCAGGGTCCCCCGGCAGAGTGAGAAGTGTCCAGGACACAGAGAGCTGTGTCTGGAATGTGCCATCTGCCCAGGCGCAGGCGGGAACGGCAGAGCAGGACGCAGTGGCAGGAGAAAGAGGACGGGGCTGGAAGGGGGGAGCTGGCTCTCAGCCTGCGTCGTGCGTGGCCAGCCCTAGTAGCATCCCTCGCGTGGACCCTCAGCCAGGCCACGGCCCATTAGATGCCCAGCTGCCCAGCCCCGGCTCCCGTGATTTGGGAGCCTGTGCCAACCTGACTGCTCCATTGCCCTTTGTATTTCTCCTTTCCCTTTAACTGGAAGAGCCATGGCCTCGTTATGTTTTGGCGGCTTTAGTTGTTGACCCAGCATTAACTGGGCACCTACCAAGTGCCAGGTATTGGGAATAGTAGGGGAGAAGTAGAGTGAAAAAGGAAACGTAGAGAAACAACCCCAGTAGGAATTCGAATAGAGGTTTTGCCAAGTGCTCTGCGAGCCCAGAGGATCCAGAGGAGGCGGCCGGGTGCAGGAGGGAAAGACGGGCACGGAGAGCAGGGGGGGAGCAAACACGGACGCGTGGGCATCCCCGGCGTGTTCAGCTGGCCCAGCAGGCACTGCCCTCTTCTCTCCACTGCCTTGTATCTGCCCAAAAAAATGCATCTGAGTTTCCACACAGCTGGTTTAAAGGCTTACGCCTTCCCTTTAGTATGCACTGTTTTAACACTTCAAAGTGGAGGCTGCGGAGGAGCCTGCAGTCACCAAACCAGGATACAAAGCAGCTCTAGGGACTGGTGACAGCTTTGTAAAAATTAAGTCTGTGTAATGATAAAGATGGGAAGAGATCATAAGGTTATATAAATAAGGTGAGGTTTTGAGTTTAAAGGGATTCTTTAGTATTTTTCTATTTGTCTAGATCTAGATACACACACATATCCATGCACAAGCAAACATATGTGTATAGATATGTATACATACACATACATATATGCACACACATTTCATGGGAGAGTAGCACCTCAAAGGCTCCAGAGCCATAGGGCTTTGCTTTAGATTGAGACCCGTTAATGTTTGCTGAATTAGAGCAAATCTCTGCTATGCCCATCCTGGTTTTTTATAGTTGACCATTGCTCTCGAGTTAATATTTGAACTTAGCCATACAGGAGGTGACAGATGCTGACCTATGGCCAACATTCAAAGGGGAAACAGCCTCCTATAAATCAGTGCACACTGGACAGCCCCGCCAGCAGAGCTGCCTATCAACTGCGGAGGGAGCCTCATCGCCACCATGAACTTCTCCGGCAAGTACCAGCTGCAGAGCCAGGAAAACTTTGAGGCCTTCATGAAGGCAATTGGTGAGTGTTGAACTGGACACCAAGGCTGGTGGCCGTGGCAGTGAGTGTCTGGCCGGGCAGGTGGTGGCCAGTCATAAATGTAGGCTCGATGTTGGGTTGGGAGGAGAGGTTCAGGCTTTATACAAACCAGGGCAGTGTCATGCTTGTAACTCTTGCAGTCACAGGCAGCTTGTGCTAGTACTCACTGGACAAAGCCGCTCCATAGGTGAGTGGAAAGAGCGCTGAACTAGTGTCTGATTTGGACTGAAGCCACCTCTGCTAATAACTCACTGTGGGATTTTGTTCACTCATTCATCCATCCATCCATTCATTCATTCTTCTAACAGACTGATTCGAGGCCAACCGTATTCTGAGCACTGTGCTGGACAGCTACTAGGGAAACAGATAACGATGGGCCACATTTCCAAAGTCACCATTTACAGAGGAAAAAGAGGAGAAATGAATACAGTAAAGAATCTCCTAACATGTACTGAGTGTTAACTCAGTGCCAGGCACTGTGCTAAGCCTTTGATATGCAATATCCCATTGAATCCTTTTTTTAAAAACCCTCTGAGTTGGGTACTATTCTTTTTCCCATTTTACAGTCCAAGCAACTGAGGCCTTGGAAAGTTAAGAAATCCCAACCAAGGTCACTCAGATAGGAAGTGTTTACACCAGGATTTGAAGCAGGCACTGGTTCCCAGAGACCCCAGGCTCACCCCCCACCCCTACCGCGTTCCCCAGAGGATTGTGCAAGAGGATGTCATGCTCACAGGAGGGCATGGAGAGATTTGATGGTGGTGAAGGGAAGCCATGACTAAACCTTGGAAGATCAGCAGGTGTCCACTAGGGGTCCAGGAAAGGGAATTGTGCTTCAGGTAGAGGAAGCCTTATGGGCAAAGGGGCAATGTGACAAGGAAGAGTGGCAAGAGGGAGAAGGGTGGGAAAGACAGAGAGAGGAGGACCTTCAGGGCCAGAAGAGAGCTTGGATCTTCTCCTGTAGGGCAAGTCATGCCACCTCTCTGTGTCCCACATCCCTCACCTGTGCAACAGGATCCTCCCTGCCCACTGTCAACACATGTGGGCTTGTAAATCTCAATTCATATGACACCTTAGACACCCTCAAATTTGTAAAGCTCTGTCCCAAAGCAAGGGACTCCTGATACATCTTCGAGAGCCTTGCCAGCAGAAGTTGAGGTAGGGCTGGGTGGACAGGTGTTTACCAGGACAGTCCTATCGTGTGCATGTTGCCCTGGCATAAGAGCACCCCCAACCCCATGTCTCACTCTCAGGAGCGACCTGGCTTGGAAGAGAAACTGTATGGGTCAACCTGAGTATAGAGGATGAACGCTTGTGCTCAGAGAGCCAGTTCTCTGGGTGTTAAAGGCAGGGGAGTGAGGCAGGAGAGTGAGCCCCAACCAGGTGCTTGCCAGTGGAGAGGTTCTTCAGGCCAGAGGGGTGCCTTCTTTATAAAGCAATTGGCAAGACAGTGAGCCTACCAGGGCAGGTCTACTCAAGCCACTGACCTTTCCTTTCAAAGGTCAAAGTTCATGTTGCTCTCAGGACTCCAGTACATGCCTGTGGCCTCCAGGGAGACGCAGCATCTCCCTCTCCCCCTTTGTGCCACAGCGTCTCTGTCACCACCACCTTGCCACTCCCACCTCTGCCCATCTAAACCCCAGATGCTTCCCACCAGGTCTGCCTGATGACCTCATCCAGAAGGGGAAGGACATCAAGGGAGTGTCGGAAATCGTGCAGAATGGGAAGCACTTCAAGCTCACAATCACCACCGGGTCCAAGGTGATCCAGAACGAGTTCACCTTGGGCGAGGAGTGTGAGCTGGAGACCATGACCGGGGAGAAGGTCAAGGTAGGAGATGCCCCGTCAGCCACACTCTGCTCCCAGAACTTTTCTTGGAGCCTTTTTTTTTTTGTACCAGATGATGCTCCAACCATCTGAGCCACCTGGCCACAGCTGGCTAGAAATTTTTTTTTTCTTTATCTTTATTGTTGCAAGTATTACAAATGTCCCCCTTTTCCCCCCATTGATCTCCTCCACCCTGCACCCCTCCCCCAGGCCTTCACCCCACTATTGCCTGTGTCCTTGTGTTATGCATACATGCATATAAATTCTTAGGTTAATCTCTCCCCAC